AAGTAATAGCATACAATACAGAATAAAGTCCTAACAACAAACTATATGACTTCATATTGTTGACTTCAGTAGTCATACCTTAACACTAAAGTCCTTTGTAGTGCCTTTCTAACTTTCAAGGACACCAAACAAGCAGCTAATAAAAACATTAAACAATACAAATAAAAACAAAATAATGTTAAGGTAGAACAAATGAAATCAACAATATGAAAAAAGTCCTTTGGTGTCCTTGAAAGTTAGAAAGGCAATTCAAACAAGCAGCAATTAAAAACATTAAAAAATACAAGTTAAAAACAAGATAAACAATAAAAAAGTCATAACATCAAACTGACCAGAGTTCAGTCCATCTCAATGAAATGCAGGAGCACTTCCTATGTTCACCAACTGACAGTTCAGTCCAAGTCCCTCGCAGTGAAATTCAGCAGCGCGTCCTACTGTAGACCACGTAGTGAAATGCGTAAGTGTTCACAAACTGACATTCCTTACTGTGCGGGCCATCGTAGTGACGCTTCGTAGAGATATGCAGCAGCGCGTCCTACTGTAGACCACGTAGTGAAACGCAGTAGTGTTCACAAACTGACATTCCCTACATCGCGGGCCATCGTAGTGACGCTTCCCAATGTTGGTTTAGATTACTCATCTAACCATTCAAGTTCAAGTCCTTCTCCTCGAAAAGACTTCCTGTTGACCCCATAATTGAACCGAATTTCATCATCAACAGAAATGTCCTTCAACGCTTTCAAGAAGATCACATGTTGATCCCCTTCAGGGAACTTCATGATGCAGTGACAAGGCTTGGCATTTGGGTTCTTCCTTGAATGATTAATTTTCCTTCCTATCGTCTCCATGTCTGGGTGGCACTCGCATGGAAAGGTCTGTGCATCAATGCAGAGTTTCTCATTCTTGTAGGTGAAGAAGAACAAATAACCCATCTCGTCCTGGATTTGTTCTTGCATCTTCTTTGCTTCTTCTGCTGAGATGACCTTGCCGTGGTGGTCACAAAGGATGGACCCTTTATGGAACTTCTTGGTGGCAACAACTCCTTTAGTAAAAAAATGAAGGTATTAGAATAAACAATTAAAGTCATGTTCTCTCTTTCACAAAACAGTGATGGGTACATACCAATGCCTTTGTCACCAGGAAACTGTTTCATGGACAGACCAGACCACTTTTGGTRTCTGATCCGTTTCATCATCTTSGGGTCACTCTCAACTTCTGTTTGTTGTGGAGGTTTCCATTTGSCGATGATGTCCTCTGGGGARGGATGGTTGGCTCTCCACCCCTCCTTGTTTATGTCCTTRGATACACATTTGGCACTTGGGGGACGCCTTGTGTATAGAGCTGTAAAAAACAWAGTTTTATGTCAAACTTGTGGTTAAGTAGGGCAAAATAAATCATAAAAGTATTTTCCTTACCCAACAGATATTCTTCCCTCTTGGCAAACTGAAGTTTTCTCCACCTGTCATAGAGCACTCTGTTTTCAGAGAATCCAGCTTCAGCCCTCTGTTTTTTGTTTGGTGGCTGACCATCAAGCGTTACCGGGAAGGTCTTGACAAACTCAGCAATGTCTTCATGTCCCTCCTCTTCAACTTCCTCTCTTCCTCTTTTCTGGGCCGATGTGCCCTCATCTTCAGCAGAGCTTTCAGAAGAGCTGCAAGCAAATGAAACATCAAGTCAAAACACTGATAAAAGG